CTTCATCACCTTTCATCCACCTTTCATCACCTTTCATCACCTTTCATCACCTTTCATCACCTTTCATCACCTTTCATCACCTTTCATCACCTTTCATCACCTTCACACCTTCATCACCTTTCATCACCTTTCATCACTTTCATCACCTTTCATCACCTTTCATCACCTTTCATCACCTTTCACCACCTTTCATCACCTTTCATCACCTTTCATCACCTTTCATCACCTTTCATCACCTTTCATCACCTTTCATCACCTTTCACTTCACCTTTCATCACCTTTCATCACCTTCATCACCTTTCATCACCTTTCATCACCTTTCATCACCTTTCATCACCTTTCATCACCTTTCATCACCTTCATCACCTTTCATCACCTTTCATCACCTTTCATCACCTTTCATCACCTTTCACCACCTTTCATCACCTTTCATCACCTTTCATCACCTTTCATCACCTTTCATCACCTTTCATCACCTTTCATCACCTTTCATCACCTTTCATCACCTTTCATCACCTTTCATCACCTTTCATCACCTTTCATCACCTTTCATCACCTTTCATCACCTTTCATCACCTTTCATCACCTTTCATCACCTTTCATCACCTTTCATCACCTTTCATCACCTTTCATCACCTTTCATCACCTTTCATCACCTTTCATCACCTTTCATCACCTTTCATCCACCTTTCATCACCTTTCATCACCTTTCATCACCTTTCATCACCTTTCATCACCTTTCATCACCTTTCATCACCTTTCATCACCTTTCATCACCTTTCATCACCTTTCATCACCTTTCATCACCTTTCATCACCTTTCATCACCTTTCATCACCTTTCATCACCTTTCATCACCTTTCATCACCTTTCATCACCTTTTCAACTCATCCTTTCATCACCTTTCATCACCTTTCATCACCTTTCATCACCTTTCATCACCTTTCACCACCTTTCATCACCTTTCATCACCTTTCATCACCTTTCATCACCTTTTCATCACCTTTCATCACCTTTCATCACCTTTCATCACCTTCATCACCTTTCATCACCTTTCATCACCTTTCATCACCTTTCATCACTTTCACACCTTTCATCACCTTTCATCACCTTTCACTCACCTTTCATCCCTTTCATCACCTTTCATCACCTTTCATCATTCACCCTTTCATCACCTTTCATCACCTTTCATCACCTTTCATCACCTTTCATCACCTTTTCATTCATCACCTTTCATCACCTTTCATCATCACCTTTCATCACCACACCTTTCATCACCTTTCATCACCTTTCATCCCCACCTTTCATCACCTTTCATCACCTTTCATCACCTTTCATCACCTTTCATCACCTTTCATCACCTTTCATCACCTTTCATCACCTTTCATCACCTTTCATCACCTTTCCACCACCTTTCATCACCTTTCATCACCTTTCATCACACCTTTCATCACCTTTCATCACCTTTCATCACCTTTCACCACCTTTCATCACCTTTCATCACCTTTCATCACCTTTATCACTTTCATCACCTTTCATCACCTTTCATCACCTTCATCACCTTTCATCACCTTTCATCACCTTTCATCACCTTTCATCACCTTTCATCCCTTTCATCACCTTTCATCACCTTTCATCACCTTTCATCACCTTTCATCACCTTTCATCACCTTTCATCACCTTTCATCACCTTTCATCACCTTTCATCACCTTTCACCTTTCATCACCTTTCATCACCTTTCATCACCTTTCATCACCTTTCATCACCTTTCACCACCTTTCATCACCTTTCATCACCTTTCATCACCTTTCATCACCTTTCATCACCTTTCATCACCTTTCATCACCTTTCATCACCTTTCACCACCTTTCATCCCTTTCATCACCTTTCATCACCTTTCATCACCTTTCATCACCTTTCACCACCTTTCATCACCTTTTCATCACCTTTCATCACCTTTCACCATCACCTTTCATCACCTTTCATCACCTTTCATCACCTTTCATCACCTTTCATCACCTTTCATCACCTTTCACCACCTTTCATCCCTTTCATCACCATTTCATCACCTTTCATCACCTTTCATCACCTTTCATCACCTTTCACCACCTTTCATCACCTTTCACCACCTTTCATCACCTTTCATCACCTTTCACCACCTTTCATCACCTTTCACCACCTTTCATCACCTTTCATCACCTTTCACCACCTTTCATCACCTTTCATCACCTTTCATCACCTTTCATCACCTTTCATCACCTTTCATCACCTTTCACCACCTTTCATCCCTTTCATCACCTTTCATCACCTTTCATCACCTTTCATCACCTTTCATCACCTTTCATCACCTTTCACCACCTTTCATCACCTTTCATCACCTTTCATCACCTTTCATCACCTTTCATCACCTTTCATCACCTTTCATCACCTTTCACCACCTTTCATCACCTTTCATCACCTTTCATCACCTTTCATCACCTTTCATCACCTTTCATCACCTTTCATCACCTTTCATCACCTTTCATCACCTTTCATCACCTTTCATCACATTTCATCACCTTTCATCACCTTTCATCACCTTTCATCACCTTTCATCACCTTTCATCACCTTTCACCACCTTTCATCCCTTTCATCACCTTTCATCACCTTTCATCACCTTTCATCACCTTTCATCACCTTTCACCACCTTTCATCACCTTTCACCACCTTTCATCACCTTTCATCACCTTTCATCACCTTTCATCACCTTTCATCACCTTTCATCACCTTTCATCACCTTTCATCACCTTTCATCACCTTTCATCACCTTTCATCACCTTTCATCACCTTTCATCACCTTTCATCACCTTTCATCACCTTTCATCACCTTTCATCACCTTTCATCACCTTTCATCACCTTTCATCACCTTTCATCACCTTTCATCACCTTTCATCACCTTTCATCACCTTTCACCACCTTTCATCCCTTTCATCACCTTTCATCACCTTTCATCACCTTTCATCACCTTTCATCACCTTTCACCACCTTTCATCACCTTTCACCACCTTTCATCACCTTTCATCACCTTTCACCACCTTTCATCACCTTTCATCACCTTTCATCACCTTTCATCACCTTTCATCACCTTTCACCACCTTTCATCCCTTTCATCACCTTTCATCACCTTTCATCACCTTTCATCACCTTTCATCACCTTTCATCCACCTTTCATCACCTTTCATCACCTTTCATCACCTTTCATCACCTTTCATCACCTTTCATCACCTTTCATCACCTTTCATCACCTTTCATCACCTTTCATCACCTTCACCACCTTTCATCACCTTTCATCACCTTTCATCACCTTTCATCACCTTTCATCACCTTTCATCACCTTTCATCACCTTTCATCACCTTTCATCACCTTTCATCACCTTTCATCACCTTTCATCACCTTTCATCACCTTTCATCACCTTTCACCACCTTTCATCACCTTTCATCACCTTTCATCACCTTTCATCACCTTTCATCACCTTTCATCACCTTTCATCACCTTTCACCACCTTTCATCCCTTTCATCACCTTTCATCACCTTTCATTACCTTTCATCACCTTTCACCACCTTTCATCCCTTTCATCACCTTTCATCACCTTTCACCACCTTTCATCACCTTTCATCACCTTTCATCACCTTTCATCACCTTTCATCACCTTTCATCACCTTTCATCACCTTTCACCACCTTTCATCCCTTTCATCACCTTTCATCACCTTTCATTACCTTTCATCACCTTTCACCACCTTTCATCCCTTTCATCACCTTTCATCACCTTTCATCACCTTTCATCACCTTTCATCACCTTTCATCACCTTTCATCACCTTTCATCACCTTTCATCACCTTTCACCACCTTTCATCACCTTTCATCACCTTTCATCACCTTTCATCACCTTTCATCACCTTTCATCACCTTTCATCACCTTTCACCACCTTTCATCCCTTTCATCACCTTTCATCACCTTTCATTACCTTTCATCACCTTTCACCACCTTTCATCCCTTTCATCACCTTTCATCACCTTTCATCACCTTTCATCACCTTTCATCACCTTTCACCACCTTTCATCACCTTTCATCACCTTTCACCACCTTTCATCACCTTTCACCACCTTTCATCACCTTTCATCACCTTTCACCACCTTTCACCACCTTTCATCACCTTTCATCACCTTTCATCACCTTTCATCACCTTTCACCACCTTTCATCCCTTTCATCACCTTTCATCACCTTTCATCACCTTTCATCACCTTTCATCACCTTTCATCACCTTTTACCACCTTTCATCACCTTTCATCACCTTTCATCACCTTTCATCACCTTTCATCACCTTTCATCACCTTTCATCACCTTTCACCACCTTTCATCACCTTTCATCACCTTTCATCACCTTTCATCACCTTTCATCACCTTTCATCACCTTTCATCACCTTTCATCACCTTTCACCACCTTTCATCCCTTTCATCACCTTTCATCACCTTTCATCACCTTTCATCACCTTTCATCACCTTTCATCACCTTTCACCACCTTTCATCACCTTTCATCACCTTTCACCACCTTTCATCCCTTTCATCACCTTTCATCACCTTTCATCACCTTTCATCACCTTTCATCACCTTTCATCACCTTTCATCACCTTTCATCACCTTTCATCACCTTTCACCACCTTTCATCACCTTTCATCACCTTTCATCACCTTTCATCACCTTTCATCACCTTTCATCACCTTTCATCACCTTTCATCACCTTTCATCACCTTTCCCTAACAAACTCTCACAATGGCCAACCTGCACAACCTTTACTCCCATCGCTCCCCTTCGTTTCCCTTCCCTTCCCTCCCCTTCCCTCCCCCCTCTAGCAACCCGTTCTCTCAGCTGAACTCTCTTGCTATGCTCACCTATGCTCTCCTCCAACCCCCTCTCATCCTCCTCTCACCACCCTCTCACCCCCCCCCTTGCAGCTTCATCAATCAGAACAGCATCAGCGGCCCGCTTCCCCCCACCATCACTCGCCTTCGCAAGCTTCGCATCCTGTGAGTATGCCCTCGATGAGTGTCCCCTCGAATGGTCCTTTGTATCAGGCTTCCCCTGAGTGGGCTTCCCCTGAGTGGGCGTCCCCTGAGTGGGCGTCCCCTGAGTGAGTGTCCCTTGTATGAAAAGAACAGCAGCGCACCCTCTCTTGACCTCCCCTTCCTCCTGTTCCCACGCACCTCCTCTCATGATCAGCGATAAGCTCTCCATCATCCCTCCCCCGCACCCTGTTTCATGAGCAGCGATACCCTCTCCCCTTTCCCCCCTCATACCCCGTGCCCTCATACCCCGTGCCCTCATACCCCGTGCCCTCATACCCCGTGCCCTCATACCCCGTGCCCTCATACCCCGTGCCCTCATACCCCATGCCCTCATACCCCGTGCCCTCATACCCCGTGCCCTCATACCCCGTGCCCTCATACCCCGTGCCATCATACCCCGTGCCCTCATATCCTGTATCCTCACATCCCCTCCTCCCAGCTTCATGAGCAGCAACCCAAAGCTCACTGGACAGCTGCCTCGCAACCTAGGCAACATGGTTGGACTCACGGACCTGTGAGTGACACGTGGCAGAGCGACCTGTGAGTGACACGTGGCGGACCACCTCTGGTGTGCACACTGCGCACATGTTTCATGCTGCCTGGCCTCCGCACCCCACCAGTATTCCATCACCTGCCAACGACTGCTGCTGCCTTGCTACACCCACCTCTACGCCCAGCACGGCACCTGCCTTTGCATCCCTCACTGATTTTGAGGCGCCTCTAAAACTGTGACGTGACGCCTTGCTATACATGCTTTTTGAGAATTCGAAACAAAGCTTTACACCCAGCACCTGCCTTTGCATCCCTCACTTCCCTCTTATCCCTCTGATCTCCCCCCTTGTGTGTGTGTGTGTTTCTCAGAGTGATGGAGTTCTGCCCCTCCGGCCCCATCCCACCATCCATCACCTATAAGCTTCCCTCCCTTTCATCACTTGAACCCACCTCCCTCCACCCCTTCCCCCCATCCGCCTTTCTCAGGGTGATGGAGTTCTGCAATTTCTCCGGCCCCATCCCAGCGTCCATCACCCGCCTCTCCCGCCTGCAGCGCCTGTAAGCACCACCCTGCTGCTTCGACCCCGCACCCACTCACCCTGCTTAGACCCTGCACCCACCCACCGTGCTTAGACCCCGCACTCACCCACCCTGCTTAGACCCCCCAACAGGCGCCTGCAGGCGCCTGCAGCGCCTGTAAGGACCTCTCAGAACCACCCCAACTCAAACACTCAGACCACCAGGCACTCTCAACTCCATCCCCATCCCACCTTCCACCACCCCCGCCTGCCACGCCTGTAAGAGCCTCTTGCTTAAGCCGACTTTTGAGGCGCCTCAAAAGGCATCCACCACCCGCCTGCCACGCCTGTAAGAACCTCTTGCTTAAGCCGACTTTTGAGGCGCCTCAAAAGGCATCCATCACCCGCCTGCCACGCCTGTAAGAGCCTCTTGCTTAAGCCGCACACCCAGCCTTCCCCAATTGCTGTCTTCGTGCTGCTTGTCCTTCTCCCTTCCCGGGCCCAATCTCAGTAGTAAATCCCAAGTGCAACGATCTGACTTCACCCGCTTCGTCTCCCCCATCTTCTCCCCTCACACTCCTAGCCTCTAATTTTCACTTCTCCTCTCTGCTCCAACGTCCCTCCCCCCCCCCCCCCCCCCCGCGCCCCCCCCCGCCCCCCTGGCTCCCTCAGCCTGCTGGACAACAACTACTTTCGGGGACCAGTGCCTGATGGCATCAGCAGGCTCACAAATCTCACCATTCTGTAAGACATGTGTGCGTGCTTTCACCTCGGTTATCGATGCGCATGTTCTCCACCACCCCCACCGCCCCCACCACCCCCACCACCTCCACCATGAGCATTGCCCCTCTGCTCAAGCACGACAGACAGCCCCCTTCCCTCACCACCCGTCCCTCCCCCCACCACCCGTCCCTCCCCCCACCAGGTACCTGGAGCGCAACTTCCTCTACGGCACGTTTCCCGCTGGCATCTCTCGCTTGCCCAAACTGGCCTACCTGTGAGTGCTGCATAGATGAGTGCTGCACAGATGGGTGCTGCACAGATGGGTGCTGCACTGCAAAGATTAGTTTTTGGTGCACAGGTGAGTGCTGCACCAGCCACCCCCACCATGAGCATTGCGCCTCTGCTGCCTAGCTTGCTTCAGTCATTGCTTTCTAGCTTCCTGTCGTAGCTTTGGGGCCTCTTGTATTCTACCTTTGTATTCAACTCATAACTGTCTGTTGTGTTCTACCTTTATGCAGTCATAGCTGCTGCAGAAGGCTCTTGGGGATCCTGTTGACTGGCATGCTGGTCCCATCCTTCCATCTCACACCCCCCACTTCCGCCTACCACCTCTCCCATCCGTTCTCCCTTCCCCCTTCCGCCTCCCCCATTTTCCCCTCCCCCCCACCTCCACCCCAATTCCACGTTCCGTCCCCCTGCAGCAATCTGCACGACAACATGTTCACAGGCCCCCTCCCCACCAACTTCCCTGGCACGTGGTTCATCCAATGGGGGCAGTACAACCTGCGGAACAACTTCTTCAACGGGCCCGCGGTGGTAACCGCGGGCGGGCAGCCCTTCTGCCCGGTCAACGCCACCTATAAAGCTATCTTCTTTGAGTCATCTCTCGCTAAGAACTGTTTGACTTACCCCGAGGGGAGCCCATGTGTGAAAGCAGGGGTGGTGCAGCCGCAGGTGCCTACTAACGTGTGTAAGCGTTTTTGTAACGCGGACACAAACACATGCGGGGGGAAGGGGTACTGCTGGTTTGGCGGTGGGAGGCACCCGTCTTGCGACTGCTTTAGAGGATACAAGCCCACTGCTGACAAGCAGTCTTGTGTGAAAGCATGATGTTCCCTTTATACCGGTGCACGTGTGTGTGAAAGCTTGTCTATAGGCTGATTTTTTGTGACGACCTTTCCAGGTTTAGGTTGTACCATAGCAATGGGTGTAAGATTCCATATGCATCACACAATATCCACTCAATACATAACTGATTTGTTGGGCGCAGGTGAGACGTGTTGTGTGCACGTGAGATATGATGGAAACAGCTGCAATGCCCATGAGAAGCATTTAGTTTCATTCTCAAATGCGTTTTAATATATGTGAATATACGCGTTATAATATATGTCACAAAGCTAGGTTAACTTAGCTAGGAAGGAAGGCGGCCATGAAATGGGGAGAGGTTTAGGAGCTAGGAGAGAAAGTTGACGAGAGAAGAGAGGGGAACTAGAAGAGAGAGAGAGAGAGGCATATAAGGAGGGAGTTGTACCCTCTACAGTAGAGTTCGATAACCTACCAAGCCTGCCAAGTATATAACACAATATATGATTTAACACACCCCCTAGGCTTGGTAGCGGCAAGCCCACCACACACACAGCACACTAAGCCACACACCCCCTAGCACCCCCATACTCAACAGCAGCGACAGCTACTTCAGCACGGTCAACCCCACGGCGCGTGAGGTGGGCGACGTCGACAACGAGGGCAGCGGCTGCAACGGCGGCGACGGCGGCAGCGTCGACAGTGGCGGTGGCGGCGGCGTGCGGTGGCGTGGCCAGCTGCACCAGCTGCGGCGGTGGCGGCTTCGATGACAGCTGCCGGCGGCGGCGGAGCTCGCAACACTCGGCGGCGTGGGTGGGCTCCGCGACGGTGGGACGGCCGGCGCGAGTCAGCCGTCGGCTGCGGCAAGGAAGAGGGGACGCAGGGGAAGGGGGGCGGGGCTTCAGCAGCGGATCCCAGGAGCGTGCCGCCCTGTGTGGCGCGCTGGCGGCATGCGGGCGTGCTGGCCAGCGCTAAGAAGAGGTGCTGGCTGCTGTCGTCCGTGCCGTCCGCGCGCTGTCGCGTAGATGCCGCGGCAGCACGACGGCGCCGCCACAGCTTGACGTCGACGCCGACGCCGCCACGGCTTGACGCCGACGGCAAGACAGCGCGACACCACGGCAGCGCGTCGCGACGGCCGCGGCAGCACGACACGGCCGGCGGCACGACGACGCGGCCACAGCAGCACGACGCGGCCGCCATGGCAGCGAGAGAGAGAGAGAGAGAGAGAGAGAGAGAGAGAGAGAGAGAGAGAGAGAGAGAGAGAGAGAGAGAGAGAGAGAGAGAGAGAGAGAGAGAGAGTAGAAGAGCGCAGCGGAAGCGTGAGGAGCAGGCCCACAAGGAGCGAACAGCTCTGGTACCATGTCACAAATCTAGGTTAACTTAGCTAGGAAGGAAGGCGGCCATGAAATGGCGAGAGGTTTAGGAGCTAGGAGAGAAAGTTGACGAGAGAAGAAAGGGGAACTAGAAGAGAGAGAGGCATATAAGGAGGGAGTTGTACCCTCTACAGTAGAGTTTGATAACCTACCAAGCCTACCAATTATATAACACAATATATCATTTAACAATATATTCATTTTTAAGTATGCCGAAGTGTAATTTGACTTTTATATCTCGTTCAGATAATACATACACTTTCATATTCCCTTCAGTGTGTTTCGCCTGAAGTCCCCCTTGGTATGGATGTCATTCCCAGCGACACAGTGAACCCTGATTGGAAGCCCAGATATTTTCCGCTGCCCGCTGGCTGCTGCCCTCTGGCCGCTGGCCGCTGCCCGCTGGCCGCTGCTCGCTGCCCGCTGCCCGCTGCCCGCTGCTCGCTGCCCACTGCCCGCTGCCCGCTGCCCGCTGCCCACTGGCCGCTGGCCGCTGGCCCGTGGCCGCTTGCCGCTGCCCACTACCTGCTGGCCGCTGGCCGCTGGCCGCTGCCCTCTGGCCACTGCGTGCTGCCCGCTGGCCGCTGCCCGCTGCCCGCTGGCCGCTGGCCGCTGCCGCTGGCCCCTGGCCGCTGCTCGCTGCCCGCTGGCCGGTGCCTGCTGGCCGCTGCCCGCTGGCCACTGCCCGCTGGCCATTGCCCGCTGCCCGCTGCCAGCTGGCCGCTGGCCGCTGTCCGCTAGCCGCTGGGCGGTACCCACTGGCCACTGGCCGCTGCCCTCTGCCCGCCGCTCGCTGCATGCTGCCCGCTGGCCGCTGCCCGTCGGCCGCTGGCCACTGCCCGCTGCCCGCTGTCCGCTGCCCGCTGTCCGCTGGCTGCTGGGCGGTGCCCGCTGGCCGCTGGTCGCTGCCCTCTGCCCGCTGCCCGCTGCATTCTGCACGCTGCCCGCTGGCCGCTGGCCGCAGCCCGCTGGCCGCTGGCCGCTGGCCCCTGGCCCCTGGCCGCTGGCCGCTGGCCGCTGGCCGCTACCCGCTGGCCGCTGGCCGCTGGCCGCTTCCCGCTTCCCGCTGCCCGCTGCCCGCTGCCCGCTGCCCGCTGCCCGCTGCCGGCTGCCGGCTGCCCGCTGCCCGCTGCCCGCTGGCTACTGCCCGTTGCTTCCCCCTTCCCGCTTCCCACTTCCCGCTTCCCGCTTCCCGCTTCTTCCCCCTTCCCGCTTCCCACTTCCGGCTTTCTGTTTCTTCCCACTTCCCGCTTACCGCTTCTTCTGCTTTCCCGCTTCCCCTTCCCGGTATCTGTTGTGGATGTTTTGTGAGGCAAGGGACTGTGGACGATCCGTTAGAGAGAAGCACGGACAAGTGAATGACCCCATGGCCGGGTGAATGACCCCATGGCCGAGTGAATGACCCTATGGCCGAGTGAATGACCCCATGGCCAAGTGAATGACCCATGGCCGAGTGAATGACCCCATGGCCGAGTGAATGACCCCATGGCCGAGTGAATGACCCCATGGCTGAGAGAATGACCCCGCGGCCGAGTGACTGTCCTCATGGCCGAGTGAATGACCCATGGCCGAGTGAATGACCCCATGGCCGAGTGAATGACCCCATGGCCGAGTGAATGACCCCATGGCCGAGTGAATGACCCCCATGGCCGAGTGAATGACCCCATGGCCGAGTGAATGACCCCATGGCCGAGTGAATGACCCCATGGCCGAGAGAATGACCCCGCGGCCGAGTGATTGTCCGCATGGCTGAGTGAATGACCCTGTGGCCGAGTGAATGACCCCGCGGCCGAGTGAATGACCCCGTGGCATTTCCGTCTCGCCTGGTGATCAATCTTAGGCATGGTGTGCGAGTGGGGGTGTGAGCGGAGGTGTTAGTGGAGGTGTTAGTGGAGGTGTGAGCGGGGGTAATGAGAGCAATTTCCAAGTCATGGGCCACATCCACGTCACCACGCTCTTTCCTTCTAAATTGCCCCAACTTCCATCGTTCTTTGCAAGTGAGGTTTAGCTTCTGTTCTCCCCACAATCCCTCCCTCCCATTGGTATCGCCCTCTGTCCGCTGTCTTGGATGTTGCACTGCAGTGCAGTCATAGGTTTCCCTTTCAGCCCTCTGGTTTTCTTTCCCTCTTCCCGCTCTCCAGATGCGCATTTGCAGCGAGGGGAGCCGGTGCATCTGGTGAGCAAGCAGTGGGATAAAAGTCTAGTTTAGAGGTGCCTCAGAACTACTTTACTTCTATCCCGTGAGCCAGTACAGCTGGTGAGTAGGCATGCGGGTGGAAGTCTAATTTTAAGGTGTCTCAAAACTAGACTTCTATCGCGTGAGCCGGTGCAGCTGGTGAGCAGGCAGAGGGTCATCCAGGGCGCTGACGCTGCGTCTCGCTACTAAGACAGGAGCATATAGGATGTCAGCTCTGTGTTTTTAGAATTCTCAAGAACCAGGCATCCAGGGTGCTGGCGCTGCTTCCCGCTGATAGAGCTGACCTCTATAGGGTAATTCCCCGATGGTGAAGCTTCGGGAGAGCAGTGTTAAATTATATATGTTATATAATTATAGGCTTGGTAGGCGTTACTGAAACTTACTGTAGAGGGTACAACACCCCCCCTTGTATCCCTCTCTCTTCTATTCTCCCTCTCTTTTCTCTTGTAACTTTCTCCTAGCTAAACCCTCACGCCATTTCATGGCTTCCTAGCTCTTGTGACATGGTAACATAGCAGGTTGCCCTTCCCGGGCCTGCTCCCTACGCTTCCGCCGCGCACTCCTCCTCTCCCTCTCGCGCTGCCATGGCGGCCGCGTCGTGCTGCTGTGGCGTCGTCGTCGTGCCGCCGGCCGCGTCGTGCTGCCGCGGCCGTCTCGTCGCGCTGCCGTGGCGTCGACGTCACGCCGTGGCGGCGTCGTCGACGTCGAGCCGTGGCGGCGTGACGGCGCCATCATGCTGCCATGGCGACGCGCTGCCAGCGCGCGTACGGCACGGTCGGCAGCGGCCAGCGCCCCATTTTAGGCGCCTCCGCCGCTGCTGCTGTCATCACTGCCGCCGCTGCCACCATCGCCATCTCCCGGGCCGTGGGGTTGGCCATGCCGGAGTAGTCGTGGCTGCTGCTGGGAATTGGGGGTGCTATGTTAGGGGGTATGGGTGTGTGTGGGTTCTTCTACTACCAAGCCTAGGGGGTGTGTTAAATTATATATGTTATATAATTGTAGGCTTGGTAGGCGTTACTGAAACTTACTGTAGAGGGTACAACACCCCTCCTTGTATCCCTCTCTCTTCTTTTCTCCCTCTCTTTTCTCTCGTAACTTTCTCCTAGCTAAACCCTCTCGCCATTTCTATGGCTTCCCTCCTACCTAGATCCTAGCTTAATTTAGCAGGCAGCTCTGGAGGTGACCTCTGGGTTGGAAAACACACACTTTTTATAGAATCCAGGATGGTGACGCTGCTTTCCGCTGCTTTGACAGGAGCATACAGGAGGTCAGCTCTGTCGTTGCCTGGGTAGTTGTTGCCCAAAATCTGTGCATGTGCATGTGCGTGAGCATGGGAAGGTGTGCGTATGCATGGGAAGGTGTGCGTGTGCATGGGAAGGTGTGCGTGTGCATGGGAAGGTGTGCGTGTGCATGGGAAGGTGTGCGTGTGCATGGGAAGGTGTGCGTGTGCATGGGAAGCTGTGCATGGGACTAGAACCCCCTTCTTTCTCTCCTGCCGTGTAGGTGATTTGGTCCTGGCATGATTGGCAAGCCGCCCATCCCGGGTTTTTCTTCGGAGTTTGAATGCATCAGCTTCACCCCCTTGCCATCCAAATGGGACACTATGCATGGAAGCTT